GATTCCTGATCTGAAGAGTTTGCTATAGTGGAATCTGTTGAATTTGGGAAGGCTCATAGGTTTGGTGGTATATCCTTACATATATAAGTATTTTTTATCCCGGCTCCGGTCAAATGGATTTAGGAAAGCTTCCACGTGACATCCTCAAGTTAGTCTTCTGCTTGAACTGTCTTATCGAAAGCTAAAGGTAGTTAACCTAGGGGTAGGGGAAAAATCCGACTAAGCTTTGCCTTGAACTTGGCACCTTACCTTCTAATCCTTTGCTTGGGAATTATATTCTAAAATATGGACTCACAGATTGGACAGTGGCACTGGAATGATAGCAAGCATCCCTTCTTATCTTTCTTGGTATGAAAGAAGTAGCTAGGACCCATCCCCCTCACAGTGTCCTTTCGCGGATTCTCTAAGAGCGGCATCCACATGATCAGAAAGTAGTGACAAAGGGTCAGGTAAAAGTGCTAACATGCAAAGAACGGAAATGCCGACAACAGCCTTTGGGGATAGGAGCTTCGCCCGGCGAAACCCCATGCTTTGAGAGTTCCTTTCTGCCAGCACTTTCTTTCTCTACCCGGGAGTAACTTCAGTACCTAGGACTACTCTCCCAGGATGCCAAACATACATGGAAAGTCTCAACTTTGACTCACAAGCGCCACCCTCACCGGGTAAATCCGGAGAAGGGCAACTGCTTCTGTAGGTAACGACTCAAATTATTATTAAAATTTATAGAGTCGTAAACCAACGAGTCTTTAAGTAAGTGGGCGTTAAGCGTAACGAGCTTACAGGAGGTAGAAAATCTTTGCCGTTAGTCTTTTATAAAGAATCAAGCTAGGCTAGTAAGAGAAGGAATACTGGTAAGAAGTCGAGAAGTCAACTAACTTATAGTGCTTTCCACACCCCGCCCCGTAGAGGGAAATTTACCTGTGAATGCGGTGCGGGCCACAGCTCTCCCTTTCACTCGAAACAAGAGTTCCTGCCAAGCATAAAGATTGAATCAATAGGACCGTATTCTAATCCTAGAAATGCCATAACTCTCTTTCTGAATGTCTCGACTTTCTTTCTCAAAAAACCGGACCGGACAAGGGTGCGGAAATAGCAAGAATTAAATGAATAGGCTCTTGTCAAGAGGTTGTTTGGCGAATCCACACTAGCTATCTTTACACAGAAGGACCACCACCATTGATACATTGATAGTGGATTAAGTGGCAAACCTATACTATGCCCAAGTGCGGACTTACTTAAGTAAGGGTATCCTATTGCTAAACATCCGGCTACCCATAGTTTGAAGGGAAGAAGCCCATGTCTGGAGCTATGCCACTGTAGAATCATTAATATTCGCGGAGACTATTTATATTATCGGACACAACAACCAGAAGCCATATCTTTCGAAGGAAATTCAACTGAGAATGATATAATGAAGTAAAGAAATATAAAATTAGAAAAAGCTAGAGCTGGGTATAAAGGCTTACGACCTGGAGATATGTCTGTCACATGAGGTATCAACTAATTTATTTATATTTTATTGCCACAGGAGCGACTCACACTGAAGGTGACATTACACAGGTCGAAGATGAAGAACTTCCTGAAGATTCGGATGCCTGAGCATGTCAGTCGAATTATACGGGACTTCCAGCTACTTGATTTTGCCCACTGCTCCCTCACCATGTCGGACGCTCCATTACTTAATGTCTTTGTTGAGAGGTGGTACAAGAAGACATCATCATTTCATCTTTCCTTTGGAAAGATAACTATCTTCAGTTCTAGATATACCAGCTTTAGGGATTGACTTGTGGTTTCAGAGTAACTTCGTCATCTCCAGTTGTGCCATTAGAGATCGAGATGTCACTATTCAGCATCCCTCGCAGTGTGAGGATGGTTATTTAGAGTGGTATCTCGTTGTATCACACTTTTGCATCACCTCACCTACAGCTAGTGTCGGGCCTTCTGATGACCGGATACTTGTTGATGACGTGCCACCACCGCCTCCTTCAGCAGATCACGACGATGATCAGCAACGCCTCAGATGATTGCAGTTATTATGAATGACCTCATGGATTTGGTAAACCCAGATGGTGAGGTTTATACTATATTATCTCGGACTGCACACATAGCTCGTGGGGGACCTATTTAGATATCTTTTGTATTATTTGTATATTATTCTGACATCTTCATCATAACACTTTCTTAACTAATATCATTAATCATCCTTAAATTGCAATGTGAACGTTAACTAACATCTGACGATAGATTACATAACTTAAACAGAAAAAAAATTAACACTACAATATGATCAATAAATAAGAAAAACATAAACACTATCAAACGCTTCAAGACGTTTCAGCATTTCCATTATGTCGTCAACGGATCTTGAAAGCTTAGCATCTAACTCGATCGACCCCTTTGATATCCTACGGGAAAATGATCTTCACGTTTCCTTCACATCTTCGTTGGTCTTCAACTCAATCAGGTTATATTTCACCCTCCAGTTAGTATCAATCCAATTTTCACGAAACTCGATCTTTCTCACCTTTCTGTTTTCGCCATCAAGCAACAATTCATTCAACTTGAGGAAGAGACATTTTTTAAGATGTATTTATCAACAACATATGACCTCTATTTATACAACTTTGTATCTATTCTGGACCACACAAATTGTTGGTGCAATCACAGCCATCCAAAACTGTCGGCAAAATCCTGATCATCCAAAAAATCATACAAATGAAACTATCAAAAATTTCACTTAGGTTGAAATTTTTGATATCACCACAAAAATTTCAAATTTGCAAACAGTTTACAACTTACCAAAAATTACTAAATTTTCAGTACATTGGAAATTTCACATAAACTATTGGAAATTTCATTATAGCTACCGAATATTTCATACGGAAATTTGGTGTTTTTCACCTAGGTGCAGTTTTTGAAATATAAAATTTTAGAAGGTACCACGTATAATTTGGGAGGTGTCAGGTTAAATTCTCTAAGAGTGTGTTTGGATGAAGTAATTGTGAATTTCTAAGGATTTTAAAATTCTAAACAATTCAAATTATTCAATTGAAATCCATTCATATTTCAATTTCAAATTTTTTTGTTTGGATGGAGTATTAAAATGATCCTTTTTAAAATGTTTGAGGTCTTTTTCATAAATTTTAAAAAATTTGGACCAAATTTAAAATATAAAAAAGAGACCAATTTGTAATTTTTAAAATTTTGAAGGACCAATTTGTAAAAATTAAAAATTTATTAGGGACTTATTGACAATTTTTTGAAATTTTTGGGGTGAATATGAAATTTTCATAAAATATAAGGATCATTTTGTAAAATTTAAAAAATTAAAAATAAACAATTTAACATTTTCATTATATAGAATGAAGAATCAATTTCAAATTCCTTATTTTTTAGTGTCATTTAAAATTTTTTAAATTAAACTTGAATAAAATTCTTCAAAAATTTACATCATTTTAACATTTCTCCATATTTTGTATCCAAACAATGAATTTTGATGAAGTAATTTTAAATTCCCTCAAAAAAAATTACATTTTCTCATTAAAATGCTTCATCCCCTTTTAGATCCGCCATTGGGGGATGTTAATTAAGGATGCTTTATATTGCATATATTCTTAACTATGCCCCTAAAGTAAGAGTTAAGCTATAAGCAAAACTACTGTATTTAAAATTCAACCCTAATCAAGCAATAGTATCCAAAAAAGATTTGGCCCTTTGTATTTATTCCTTCATCTCTATATATATTTCAACTCTTTCTATGTATACAGTGACACAAACGTATCACAGTAAAAGGAAGGAAAATAAAAGCAAATCCAGACAGAGAGAACAGAATAATGTTGATATGACCCAAAATTCTTTTCACCTCTATCTCATAGCAAGGGACAACCATGCATGTTATAAATATAAGCCCACCCAACTATATATTTTTTTATACATAAACTAAGATTGATTGAGGAACTCTTCACGTTCCCTCAAAGGCTTCCAGTATTCAGTCATATATTAATCACTTGAATGCTGGATGCTTTTGTAGGAACTTGATAGCTTCTTCTATGTAAATATGATTCAATATCCAAAACCATTCTAATGAAAACTCATGTACTCAGAACCTATTTGGCTACAACAGAATGAAGGGTCTGAGGAGCGAACCTATCGATTTTTATAATGTTATATTTTATCTATCAGCTTTTGGTTGTCCCTGAGACCGACTGTCATCCTAAGGTTTCCGGAAAATCAATAAGCTGTTGCTTGTCTTGTCTGCAACTTATCCAACGTTGCATATTACAAATAATACAACTCATCCATCCCTTTTCATTTCACTCCCCCTTCTCCAAAAACACTCTCTATACAAAGTGATGGATTCTCCTTCCTTTTCTTTCTAACTCTACAAAGTCTTAAAGTACTCAATTGTATATCACCGAGTAAATCGGTGTCAATAATTCAATTCATGAGTCAGTTTCATATACAAAAGCGATCATATACCAAGCAACCCAAATATAGGCTGCAAAGAATGATGTCATGGGAGTAAAATGGAGAGAGCAAACTCCCAGCACTAAAAAAATGTATGTCTAGAACAAAAAATCAATATACAAACCATAAAAATAGAAAGAGTCAAGGTCTTGCTAGCACCGAACACCTTGGATACTAATTTCCCAATCTGTAAATGTAAAGAACACAAGATATTAAGAATGTATATTTATTGATGCATAGATATAAAGAATTATATATTGTATTTATATAGTTTTTTAATCAAATTCATGGTATCTACGTTCATATTACTAATTACTGCAATTATTATGAAATAACTACCAAAAAAAGTTAATTCATCATCAATAAGAACTGCACAGTTAAATATGAAGCACTCACTTTTCATACAACAGTTGTCAATGTCTTTACATTCTTTACGCTGAATGGTTATCTGCGGTCAATCAAGGCATTTTTAACCGAGGTGGTTATGGAAATATTTGTATAGAATTCATGTAAACAGAAGTTATAGATTTACCTCATGATAATATGACCAGTCCAAGGTACAAAGATGCGCAAAGAAATACAAACGATATCATCCCCCTAAAAGTGGAATACATTATAGAAAGGAATGTCAATGATGAATAGTTAAAAACAAAAAATAGTGCATGCTAACTATTTCACTATGCCTCCTACTACTATACTACTACTAAAGCTTCAAGAAACTTCTTATTTTTCAGTAAACAACAGGGTGGCAAAACCAAAGCAAGCATCATAAATAATGGATTTTATTTATTAGAGAATAATGTGTTAAAAATATTCCAATTTCAATCATATAAAACCAGTAAATTTTGGCCCAAAAGGAATATTTTTTTGTATTGAAGTATGTTCGCATAAGGCAAAAACTCACCAGATAACTCCCCACCCAAAACCATTACAAGGGCATGGACAAACTTCTGCAAACTTCTCAGCATCACTAGAGTTGACTCTTCTAGATATTAAATCATCATAAATATCTACACCATACAAATTTCAATCATATGATATAAGCGACGTCAAGATGTTTGTTATCCAAATTGTAAATGAAACTTATAGAAGATGGTTGAGAGTATACCATAAACTGAAAACAAACTGTTCATCACACCTGTAAACGGAATCTTAATTAGTTGTCCATACATTTCAAAGAAATAATACAAAATAACCACGAGAAACAAGTTCAAACTATTTGTAGGAGAAAGTTAAGAGGACATGAACATACCAATGAAGAGAATGACATAGCGAAGGATATGGACTTTGGTTTTCTCTTGCAGAAGCCAAATCACAGCAATAAAAATAATAAATCCTGATATTCATTGATTAAGAAGCATAATGTCAGAAACCATGATGGTATTTCCTTTTTGAGTTTATATTTGAGAATATAAATCACTCACCAATACAGAGTCCTCGGAGCGTCCACTTTTTGGACAAATGTATGATAGGAAGACAGAGAAAGAAGGATAAAAGTCAGGAATAAATATATTCAAAACATTTGATAAAACAATTTCATTTCTGCATGTATAAGCAAGCATCTTACGTTTTTAGCAACAAAGAGCACAATAACCAGAGCAGCAAGGAAGCAACCAGCAGCAATCCTTGCAGTGAGAATATTTGTGGAAGCAAGAATCAAAGCCATCCCCCAAAATGATGAACCAAGATCTAGAGAAAAACAAATCATAAAAATGGTAGATCCAATTAAAAAATGCTCTATCAAATTCAAATATATGCTTTTATAATGCGGGTGTATGTGCTTCTATTCAAGGTTGGTAACATTGACATATTTATCAACCTCTTATTCTCCAGCACTTAGCATGTATACAATTTCTTGTCAAAACCATTGCTAACTAATAGCAGATGAAGAACCTATAGTGGATAACTATTTGATAGATGATAAGCTAACAGATTGAATTTGAAGTGTTAGATAAAATTAGCAGTTGAACTAACTATTAAATATATATTGTATGTTTTTCAATTAAGATAATGACTGTAAAAATACGAGGAAAAATGGTGCACTATTAGCTCAAATGCTACACGAAATAACATTTGAAAAAATGCTATAAGTTATTGAAAAAATAATATAAGTTCGTGAGAGAATAACTGTCATCAATTATATTATGACAATACGAGCTTATACGTTATAAAGAATGGTTAAACCTTCCCAAACAAAGTCTGCACTCATCGCATGGTGCATAAACAACAAACACGTAAACACACAGAAATATAAACTGAATGAAAATTATGGGAGAAAAGTGCATTACATCCAGCAGGCAAGATCACCCAGTATATTCCACCACGCGTCTGTGTTACCCCGCCCTCGTTTCCATGAACCTGGATACCCTCCACCTATTGGGATCAAACTAACTATGATTCAGAATGCAGAAGAATGAAATAACAACAAAATAACTTACAGCAGAACCAACTTATGAAACTTTTCAGTTTTAATGTAATAAGACCATTGTGACCCGATCAGCAGAAACCCACGTAATGCTAATCCAAAGTTGAATGTATTGGTAAAAAATATGCTAATGCTACACAACTTCACTTTTTTGAAACATGCAGCAAGTCTACTTGTATCAGTAAATAGCATTAAGTTCCTACATTCAAAGTCTTACCTTGCCACAAGTGAGCAAACACGCAATGGCATGACTTGCTTCGTGCAGAAACACGGTTATGAGCTTAAAAGGTGTAAGCAGAAACGTCCTCCATAGCTACAATCACCACAACAAAGTATTAGCACAACAAGATCAGTTGTAATAGCCACTGAGATACATGACATCGTGCCCAAAAACAAAACAAAAAAACTACATAACATAAACGACTATGGCTATTAAACCTAAAAAATATCTGAAACCTCACTTTCTTAACCAATAACAGTTCAAATAGGATTTTACAAACTAAGGAGCTTCTTTTGAAAAAGTCAATTGTGAAATGTCAAGTCAACCTAGTTGTTCAGTTCAAACAACCAGGTAATATTTATTACTCATTCAAATTAGGTCATCCAATAGATCTATCTACCAAACTTTAATCTAGTCACAACTAATCCAAGAAAAAATCCAAACAAAAATGACAAATATTTATAAATCTGTTAGCTATTCAACAGCGTGATTCTCTCATGAAAACCTTCTCACATGAAAAGAAAAAAATAGCATCGATTTGATTTTGAGGACAAATAAGCAATCACAACAAGCCAGAAAAATTCTCTATACCCAACCTCATTTGTGACGCTCCCAATTCTTAAGAAGCTCTTCCCTATTATCATGAAGGTATAAATGAAATCATACAAAGTAAAACATAGAGTTGCATTACAATTTATAACAATACAAATAAATTGCCAGTAAAATAGGATCGTTAATTTATAGATTAAAGTAAAATTTAAACTAAATCCTCAATAATTAACTTAATTCGAACACCTAAAGTAATAGTTTTTCCATTCTGAGATACTGAAAGAAAAATGGGTTTAGAGAGAGAAGTGGTACCAGGAGGATGACAACGGTGTAAACACCAACGAAAGCAATGAAGAGCTTTTGATCATGATCACAACAGTTCTTAAGCTCCCAGTTTGGCATTGTTTACTGCGATTAAACTGCAGAGATGGAAAAAAAAACTCAAATTTTGAAGAAGAAATCGAGAATAACTTTTTTGTTTTTTTTTAAAATAAAGAGAAGCGGTTTTTTTCTTTTTTTTTGAGTTGGTGGAAAAGGTGAGAGAAAATAGCAAAGAAAGATAATTTTTTGCTTGAAAAGAAAGGGAAATGAAAATAAGAGAAATACAAATAGAGGAAAGATTTTTGTACTATTTGATGGGTTGGGTAAGGCTTCGTCTCCAACGCGTAATAGTAAAGTCAAATTAAACAAATCAATCATTATATTTTTCTGTTCAACAAATACAAAGAAAAGTACCAGGATTTTATATTTTTAAAATTTGAATAATAATTTTATACCAATGTTTTAAAAACCCCAAAACAATGATTGGTTGGGTTAAATTATTGGTTACTGATCAAGTCGTATGACATTAGTTTTTTATTTGTAATCGAATGATCATAGAATTAGAGTTGATCGGTAAATGAGGTGGCATGGTTTGTTGCTATGAACTTGAGCTTTTGATGCGATAGAGAATGGATGAGTCTACAAAGTTAGCACTCCAACGCTCAAGCCAATAAGAGGGTAAGTGTTGTATGAATGAAAATGGATTTGTATACCTAAGAAATGACGTGTTTTTCCTCTTAAATAGGAATAGCGGTTTGGAAGCGTGTAGGGAGATGTAGATCACGGTCATCCATTAAATAAATTTGAACGATAAGTAGAGCTCTCGAAAAATAGTCATTTAACATTAATAAAATAGAAAAATTATTTGGGCAACCTACTACCCAATCCAATCCAACCCGAAAATTAGTGGATTTGCTCAAATCAACCTGTGAGATGTTGGGTCGAACTCTAGTATGGTCGAAGGGTAGCTTCTGTCCAAGAGGCTTTTATATCAAATTGTTGCTAATCCAATTTGGGTTAGTGCAAAGAGCTTGTACTTTACATCTTCATCAGTGTGGTAGTAGTTCAATTGGTCGTCCACATGCTCAACATGTTCGTCTAGATCCCCACTCCCATCATAGATTTGAATTTTGCAAGGTTTCTTTAGCGACCTCGTGATTCCTTTCTCGAGGATGCAATTGAACATGGGATTTCTCTTCGGCTCTTGGACTAGAGCGTCTTCTTCACACTTCACCTTTTTACAAGGATGGCGAACCACTGGGGGGATTTAATTGTCTCTTCCATCTTTCCGGCCTGGTGAAAGAGTATGGTGTCTTTAACAGTCATGATGATCTATGGATCTTGGAACTTATCTTCATGTCATTGGCTCCCTAAATGAGACCGTTCTAGAATGGTGACTTGATTTTTTTTGGAGGCATTTTCTTGCGTCGCGCTCTTTTTCTGGTTAATAAATTAAAGGATCTCTTTGATTCTAAATAGCCTCTCTGTCAGAGCTTGTGAATTTTTTTGTTGAACAATGTTGTAAACAGTATTCAGCATATCATTTTCTCCTGCATGTCGAGATTAGCCTATAAAATTTGAAAGTCGAGAAGCATTTCATGTCCAGGTACTGATCGGCGAATTTTAGTTGTGTTTTCTAAACTATGTTTGTCGTTGGTTTTGCATTGTTTTATCCGTTTTTCTAGTCTTTGGTTTGTTTTGTCGTAGTTATTTGCAGTGTTTTCGCATGAGTCTTAGTTTAATAACTTTATTGCTTTTGCCGTCGGTGCGTTTGATTTGGTTTCTTTTAGTGTATTTTTGGCAGGAATCGGTGGCCGGACATCCGTACTGTTTCGAAGACAAAGAAAAGCCGAAAAAGCACAGGTCAGAGGCCTGACACGGGTGCCCGTGTTACACAACACGGCCCGTGTCATGAGGGACACGGCCAGGAGGACACGGGTGAAAAGGAGAAAAGAAGATTTGGAAACAGAAGAGCAACACGGGTGCCCGTGTCACACAACACGGCCCGTGTTGTAGCCCCTGATGCTTTTTTCTCTGTTTTGAGTTACAGCAGCCTGACACGGCCACCCGTGTCACACAACACGGCCCGTGTCAGGGCCACTGATGAGGAAAATGTTGTTTTTTATTATTTTTCACTATGGAAGCCATTTTGAAGGGCATTTTAGACATTTTATCATGTAATTTGAATTGAGTTATATTAAGCCTTATTTTGGAAAGAAAGGAGGACGTTTTGGATTAGGATTGAGAGGAGAGAACTGAAGCCAGAGAATTCGGAAGAACAAAGGATCGATCAAGAGTGGAAGCAATTGATGATCCAAGTCCCCCAATTTCAATTGTAATGATCTTCTACTTTTTAATTCTAATTACTTTTATGTTGACCAAGAACATGAGTAGCTAAACCCCCAAGTTGTTAGGGGGTGGTCCTTAATACGATGTAATGACATTTATTTAATTATTCTACGAGAACTCTGTTTTTACCTTAATATATTTGATTTTGCATTAATCTTATTCGTATTCATATTGGAAAGTAGAATTCGAATAGTGCTTAGGCTTAGTCTGGAAAGTCAACCTAACTCTTTTGCAAAATAGTATCACGGTCGATATTGCTTAGGAATGAGGATATCCCGTATCACGTATTTTATGGTCGGAATTATTGCTTGATGTTTTTCAGGGACACTGAGGAATTAGTGAACAGGAAAATCATCAAAGGGTTTCCATTAAGGAATTAAGGCAACTAAAGTGGCCAACTGATAAATTAAGGTTAATAACTAGTATAGTAGAATAATCATACAGGGTCTTTACTCGTATAGTCTCCACTCCCCTAACACTGTTCTTAGATTAATTAATTAAGTCCGTATTTACTGTGATATTACTCTGCTACCAAACAAACCACTAGACCTTTTGTTCAATTGAATTCTAAAAATTCCGTTAATTACTACGCAGTCCTCGAGATCGATACTTGGGACGTTTCCCTTATTACTACAATTGGTAAAAATAGTACACTTGCTATTTTCCCGATCAAGTTTTTGGCGCCGTTGCCGGGGACTGCCAAATTAACATTGTTTTTAGAATCCAAAAGAAATTTTGTTGCTCTGCGACTAAAATTTTATTGTTTACTGCATTACTTTTATCCGTTTATTATCTAACGCTTGTCTAATTGTGTATGCGAGGTCAGGCCTCAGCTAAATATTCTTTTGATACAGAACCAGAACGAGCATTACACGAAAGACGGAGATTAGCTAAAGTTAAAAGACTGGAAGAAATAGAGGAAATTATATCCGTGCAGAGCGACTCCGAAGAGAGAGAGACACCACCTGAGACTGTTCAAATGGATGGAAATCCACCTCACCCTGAAAGACTGCTAGAAGACTATGGAGGGGCCAATGCTCAACCGAACCGGATGACCATTGTGAATCAACCGGTGAATGCTGCGCATTTTCAGCTACACCCTTCCACCATCCGTCAGTTGGAGAGCAAGTCGTTCGTCGGAAGAATCAACGAAGATGCAAATAAACATCTTCAGATATTCCTCACAACCACCACCTCGCTGAAAATAGAAGGACATTCCGAAGAGGCCAAGAGATTAGTTATGTTCCCGTTCACACTCACTGATGATGCGGAAGAATGGTTTTACTCGCTTCCCGCTGGGAGTATCACAACATGGCAAGAGATGGAAACTGCGTTCCTGAATGAGTATTTCCCTGCCTCAGTGTTCATCCGAAAAAGATACGACATTGTCAACTTCAAGCAAAAAGAAGGAGAATCTTTAGGGGATGTATATAAGCGGTTTAAGAGGTGTCTTACAGCATGTCCTACTCATAACCTGGACGCCACGGAGCAGATGCAAAACTTTGTGAATGGATTACGACTCAAAACGAAACAGCTCATAGATACTGCTGTCGGTGGCTCAACCAACTTCTCAACAGCCACAGGTATCAGAAGGATCATAGAAGCAATCGCCGCGAACGAGCACCTTGAGTTGTATGATCGCACAGTAAACCAACCGGAAGGTAAGATTGATCTGAAGCTGGCAGACCAGGTTGTTAAAATGGAGGATCAGATCACCGCTGAGGTAGAGAGAAGGTTAAAGAAAATGAATGTTAAAACTCAGGCAGTGGCACAAGTTGAGCCAGTTCAAGCAGCACCTTGTGAAATATGCGGTGGGCCACACTTTACAATGCATTGTGTAGCAACCCAAGAGCAAGTGGAACAGATTAATATGTTGAGGCAGAACAATCCTTACGCCAACACATATAATCCTGGTTGGAAGAATCACCCAAACTTTTCATGGAAAGATCAACAAGGTAATGTGCAAAAACCTATTCAAGGCCAACAACCGTATCAACCTCAGCCACAGCAATACCAGCAGACACCGTACCAACCTCAATATCAACCACAAGCGCCTCGAAAAGCTGATTGGGAAGTGGCCATTGAGAAAATGGCCGCCCAAAGTTCTCAATTTCAAGAAGAGACAAGGAGTAACTTCAGGAATGCTGGAGCATCCATTAAGAACCTTGAAGTACAAATGAGTCAAATTTCCCAACAGCTAGCAAGTTCACAAGCGCCGGGTACACTTCCAAGTGCCACAGTACCAAATCCGAAGGATCACCACCAAATTAAGGTGGTAGTAACAAGAAGTGGAAAAGCCAAGGAAGTAGGAGAAGAGGAAACGGAACTAAATGATCAGATGATTGAAGTAGAGCTGGAAATTAAAGAGAATGAAACAGTCGATGAAGAAGTGGTGACACCGGTACCGGCAACTAAAGAAAAAGTGGTAGAACCGAAACCAGTGATCAAGCTACCATACCCCTCAAGAAATAAAAAGAAAGGACAGCAAGAGAAGAATTTCGAGAAGTTCCTGGAGCTGTTTAAAAAGCTGGAGCTGAACATTCCGTTGTTGGAGGCACTAGAACAAATGGCCACCTATGCAAAATTCATGAAGGATAGCATTGCTAAGAAGCGGACGAGTGAGTCTGAACCTGTTATTCTAACGGAAACTTGTAGTGCTATTTTGCAGGGTCTGAAGATTCCGGTCAAGAAGAAAGACAGTGGAGCTGTTACTATCCCATGCACTATTGGCG